AATATCGATAAGTAAAACGGATGTTATAGCAACAGATGTGCTATTAATAGATCAATAAACAAATCATTAAATACATTAATAGATAAATTATCATCTAAAATCATCATTAAATTTGTATCGATAAATTTGTTATAAAAATCAATTTCATACTTATTTTTATCAAATAAAAGAAAATTAAATTCATCAAGTAGAAAAAAAATACAAATAAAATGGAAATATTAGAATTAGAAATAAAAAGAATTATCAAAAGAGAAAACAATTAATAAAACAATGATAAAAAAATAATATATTAACATTATATATTAACATATATAATATGCATATATAATATATATCATATATTAACATTTTCTAAGAAACATAGTCATAACAATGAAAATATTTCCATTAAATTTAATTCTAAAAATAAAATATAAAATATAACTGATTAATGATAATAAGTCATAACTCATAGAAATCTCTGATCATTAGTCAAGTGTTAAATTGATGAATCAATTATACATGGTCATGTTTTGTATACCTTGTTTACATCTTCAAAATAATAAATAATATCGATAGATAATATAGAATCGACGATCTTCCGGTTCCTTTATAGCCAAATGTGGTGCCTCAAGCATTGTTGGAGGAAAAGGACAATCCAAAAATGTAAATCTTTTTTATATTTCTTTTAATTTAATTAAAGAAATTATTTTCATACCCTCTTTTATTATTTCTTTTTTAACTTTTCATTTTTATTTTAATTTCTTTTATAATTCTTCTTAATTAGTAATTCACAGTTTACAGATTCTTCAACCATTCTATATTGTCTGGATGGATATTGATGAATTTTTCTTGGAGATGTAATAAATTTTTCTGTTAAGAATTTAATTTGAAGCCAGCGTTCATATGTCTATCTGTAATAACAGATGAGATAATTTATAAGTTATTACTATCACGGTAAGTTATTATTATTAATACATTCTTTGTATGCAAATCAATTTAATCTTATTATTTTTTTTTTTTTTTTTTGACACTAGTGATTCATATTGCTGCATACTAATGGACTTCTTCTATTTGGATCTTCGTTGGTGATACAGATTTCTGATTTTTGGCTTTCCTTTATTGGGAAATAGGCACATGCATATCTATTATCTTGTCCATTTGGATTTGATAGTTTCTAGATGTTTTCTAAGAATTTTTTGAAAGGTAAATATATTCATTTTGTTATCATTTTTTTGATCAGTCTTCTAATTTTGATGGCAACTTCTGTTACATCGGTAACTATTTTAAGATTGTTATTTCTCCAATGATGTACAAACAATGATGTACAGAAATTGATATCAATTAAATCATTTATTTATTCTATGCTTTTTGCTTCTATCAGGAAATTAAATCATTGCTCAATTGCTTGTTCATATATCATCCACAAATTATCATTTGTAACATTCCACAGAAATAATATTTAATACACAATTCTGTAGAACCTCTATGTATATTCATTAATGATGTTGATTTCTACATTAAATAGTATCTGAACTTTTGAATTCCATCAATTTAAAAATTTAGCTCTTAATTCTTTCAAAATGTATCATCGCAAAAAGTTAAATGCATTTTTAATATGTAGTGCAATCATACCATCTTTGTTCTATAATAGATTTATCCATTATACCAATTCTATGATTGTTCTCATTTCACATATGTATGTTGTTACACAAATTAATATAAATAAAATGCTAATGAAAAAGAACGCAGTTTTTATATTCTATGGAGGAATTTCGCATTCCATGATCTGAAAAACTCTTCATAGATTCTATTTTTAATACTATATTTATATTAAGTTTAGATCTTCATTTTCATCTAGTTATTTTTGACAAAAGTCTTCTATTTTTCAATCTATCAATAACAATTTGATATATTTATTTAAAGAATCCATACTTGTACTGTTAGATACAAGAAAGGTCTCAGATTTGTTTAAATAAACACTCAATTAGAGTTTATATTTTTATTTTATAGATGATATATAAATTTCATTGTTGTATTTTTAAAACTAAAATTATAATATGTTTTCTAAATCAACAACAATAGTCAACAAACTTTTATTTTTCTAAAGATAATAAAAAATAATTACCACTAAAGCCCTTCTTGCTTCAACAAAATATTTTATGATTCAATAGTATAAATATGAATCATAAAATAATCTCCCTGAAAGTTATTTTAAAATTCTCTGTAGAATTACTAAAATTATCTTAGATTCGATTTTAATTAAGTCTATTAGTATGCATGTTAGATGAAAATATATATTACAGAATACATTTTGTAATTTTTACAATAAAAAAAAATCTTCAATAATTCAATAATTCAATTATTAAAAATATTTTACTTAACGATATGCATTCTAAAATGTTTTTCTTATTAAAGAGAGAAGCTTTCCTTTTCATTCTAGATATAAGAGAAGCTCTTATTCCCTCGATTCGTGTACAAATTTTCTCATCTAAATTTCTAATTCTAGGCAGATTCTGTATTTTTTCTTTTACTTTAGGTTTCTTTATCAAAATATTTTTATTTATTTATTTATTTTTCTGGAATAACAGAAGATAATTCATCATCTTCTCAAGTATAGTTCTTGCCTTCTCCATTTTTATAGCAATTCTGAAACTTTTTCTTTTCATTTTAATACCAATACCCTTTTTATCATTAATAGCATGACCAATTCTCTATAGCTAATGCTGAATTTCGTTATAAATTTCAGCACCATCATAAGAAGATAAATTATTGAATTAAGGTTCAAATATCTTCTTGGTGGCAATCTCTATCAATAGAGATATGGATCAACGATTCCTTTCATAGATGTCGCTATTTTATATTATATATTCAGAAAATAAACAAATTTTCTTAAGTTTTTTTCAACTACCAAGCGTCTAATAAAATTTTTTCTTGGACGATTCTTTGTTGGAATCTATTTTAATTGGCTCACGTTAAAACGCAACGCCAATATCAGTAGTTACATTTTCTTTTTGTTTAAATAGTAGGAATTTCAAATTCGTCAAAGTTCGATCATTTCGAAGGAATATATATTTAGCTGATTGAGTAACTATATGTTACTATAATCTTGAAAAACTTTTTATCCTTCATATATTTGTTGAATTTGCTCCATATATTATATATATATTACAGGATTGAATTTGCATTTACATCGATATTCACAATAATCTTGTGCCAGAGAAATATCAATATTTTGTCATTTATCCAGTTGGAATTCAATAATTTTTTAGGCCGAAACAATATACGCTTTCGAATATTTATCGTCATCGATCTGATATATATACAGTATCAGATATACCCATAAGGATTGACAAATAATTGTTTGTCATACCGATTGAGATAAATAATTATAATATTATCCCATCCAAAAAATGACATCTTATTTATGATTCCTGTATCAATATAATGTCGCTGACAAATCCATTAGCACTTGATTAGAACTTGATCTATTATGTGTTTCATAAATTTTTAGTGTTCAAAAAAGTTTGTAAAAAATTTTTTGAATATTTTCAAGTGAATCTGAAAATATGCATCACATTTCGCATTTATTGTATAATAAAACATATCCTCCGGTTTTCATTTTCGAAATTCAGTTACAATTATTCGATGATTCAATATGATTGATATTTAATCAAAAATTTAAGCAAAAATTATTTATGTAAGAAATTGATTTACGATATATATTTAATTTTATTATTTTATTATTTTAAATTGTATTTTATTTTTTGTTTTTTAATTTATTGCATAAATCTATAAAAAATTTTAATATATATTCTATTAAAATGAAGAATTGTATTTAATATAAACTCCTAATAATTTAAAATATTAAAAATTAAGAATATTACATAAAAACAATAGATTGTAATTTTAATTTGTTATTTAATTCAATGGCTATTAAAATGTTTTAATTTCAATTTAACAAAATAGATTATTAAAAATTTTAATAAATTTGAAATTTATTTGAAATTTTTAGGAAGAAATTTTACTAGAAATTTTTATTTTTATGTATTGTTTATTGTTGTGTAAGCTATAAAGTTGATTTTTTATAATACATTTAAGCGTTAAAAAGAATAATTTATTCAAAATTTTTAATAAAATTTAAAATATTCTAAATGAAATGAAAAGTTAAGAATTTGAAAATTAAGATGATTATTTTTAATAAAAGTATTGTAAACGGTAGAATAATAATAATTTAATTTAGATTAAAAAATTCTCTTCCATTTTTATTTTTTAATTTATTAAAATATAAATTCTTAATTTCCAGTAAGCGAATTTTACAGTGTAATATATTTGAATTATAAAACTTGAAGAAGATAATAGTACAAAACAATGTAAAAAAGATAAATATGTCCATTCTAACTCCAAAAATATATATTTTCATAATTTTATAAATTATAAATAAAATATTTGAATTTTAAATTAAATGAAATATAAAATTACAAAAGTTTGTTGTTTACAAAAAAAATATTAAAAATGTTTTTGAAGTCACAGCAATTTGTAAGTATTATTATTAAAATTTAGAATAATTTAAATCAAGAAAATTAACAATTTACGAATTAACTGTGATTTCTGCTCAAGATGCTGCATGTAATGCCTTTTACTATTAAAAATGATTCAACAGTGAATTTCCGCTTAAGAATAATACCTGATATCACATTATCTTCACTATTATTGAATTTTATGAAAATAAATACGGATCTGATTAGAACTGAAAGGAAAGGTCATAAAAATATTATTTACACATATTCTTATTTCTAGCATATTATTTATCAACATGGACACAACATAATTCAATTGTATGATAAAGAAGAGCAAGAATTATTAAAACAATGAAATTCTAATCTTTTACATGATTTCATAATTGAAAATAATTATATTTCATTTGTACAATAGAATTTTTTTATTTATAATTTTGAATATTCAAGGGAAATCTCCTATATATTAAAATATAAAAAATATATATTTCCAAATAACAAGAGACAACTTTAAAGAACTTTTTTTGCTTTTATATTATTTCAAGATATATTTTATAAGAGATATTTTTTTAATATTGAATAGTACATTAGACAGATATACTATATGATCCAAAACAAAACATCATAATACGTGACATTCTTTTGTCTAATACAACAGCAATATATATAATATAGCAATATAATATAGCAATATAATGTGATGATTACATATTTTCTATGTAAAATTCGTCGAAGAAGAATTGATTATTTATTGTCCGGCAATCCTACTTCTGCTCATCTTTACCTTTTCAAAAATGATAATAAGAGAACACAGAACGGTCTCTATCATTCTTTTTCTAAGGAACTTTTGGATATCGAATATCATCAGCAGAATAACATGTATATTGTTCTTTGTTTGTAGCTGCTCATCGTGGATCATAATATGTCTCTATGCCTCTTGATCGTTTGGCTGTACCATTCTGCGATTATGCGGCTTAATCTACACATAAAAAGAAGAAAAAAATGTTATATATTTATTTAAAAAACGCTTTGTTACAGAATTACAAATTAATATTATATATAGGTAACTATGCATTTTCCATTAAAGCATATAGAAAACAATCTATGTTTATCTAATTTGCAAAAATTATTTTACATACATTCACTAATATTCTTAGTTATATTCTAATATTCTTACTAATTCTTATTAATTCTAAATTATGTGACTTCTAATATCTTATATTGGATATCTTATATTAAAATATGAAAAATATTTGCTAATAAATTATAATACGTTGATATTCATTTTGTGTAATGAAAATGTTCGAATTTCTATGAAAGAATCGATACTTGAGAAATGAGTTCAATTTTGTAAATGATAAATACAATAGTAAAAAATGATGGTTTTTCATCGAGGATATTATAAATAAATAATATAATTTACAAAAGATAGATATATAAGATAAGATATACAATTAATTAATATATATATATTAATCATATATGAGCTCATAATAATATATGATAATCGATAATATAAAATTTGATTTATAATATTTTGATTGATGATTTATTCATTGATTCTTTTTTCTTACTAAACTGATTAAATGGAATTTTTTAAACATTTTTAGATTTAGTGTTTCATCTAAACAACTGGATATAGTTAAATAGTATATTATATTATATATATTATATACAAATTAATACAAATGAGAAACTAATTGAATAAGAAATATTGATAGATAAATAAATCACAATAGAAAACATTCTTAGCTTCCAAAATCATTGGATTTTATATCTCTTGAATATTAATTATGAAGAGTTCTGAAACAAAAAATTGATGTCATGAAAGTGAAGAACTAGCAAGAAATTAAAAACGCAATTAATGAAACTCAGCAAAATTTTCATAAACATTATTATTAATCATTTTTTATGACATCATTTTACAATTATTTAATAACAATACAAAATTGTTATGATAAAAGACAACACATATTTATGCAGATGAGCATAATCAATATTTCTGTGTACTCTAATGGAAAATGTGTATTTATATACGTACATGCTTATAACAAAGCATTTATAACAAAACTAACAAACTTTATACAACATTTCTTTCTTTTTTTTATGTGTATATTAAATACAAAAACAATTTTATAATTCAACAAAAATTATGTGATTTGAAATAATTAATTTTATATTCCTTAATAATTTCTTAATATATTCCTTTTTTTAAAAATAATATAATAATGCATTGATTAATATAAAAATATATATATAATTTCATTTAATAAAAAATATTTTTTTATTTTTGATTAAATAAAAAATTTTTTATCAACTTTCACTGTTATTTTATTATTAATTGATTAACTTCCATTAAAAGTTTTTTTTTTTACAATAGCGAGAATGCCTGAAAAATTGCATGTATGAGTATTAGAATAAAATATATAAAATAATATAAGTTTGTATCTATTTATTATATATATTATATTTTTATTATTTATTGATCTATTCTATTGTTTTATTCATTTTTTATTATTATATAAAATTATTATTATTAAAATTATATATTTTATATAAATATTATTAATATAAGTTTAAATATTCATGTATAAATAAATATTATATATATAAATATTAATGTAAAATTTAATATACTATGTATTAATATATAAAAAATTAAAGCGATATTTTTCATTACTTCTTTTTTTTTTAAATCAATTATATACCTTTTTTATATCAATTCATAAATATTGATAATTGCTATTTTTTTTTAACATTTTATGTCTAACTTAATTCTATATATTTTCTACATATTAATATACATTAATTTAATTGTAATAGTTAATCCAATTTTCAAAATCATTTTTCTTGAAAAGATAACTACAGATTTCATTATCGGTAATCTAGATTTCTCTAATTGACTAATGTAACATTTCTATTCATTACCACATCTATCAATATTTCTACGTGAATGTTTCTAAATATGAATGCCAGAGCTACTACAACATGTATCAAAGTTTTTATCAAAATAATTAAATATTTATTGAAAAAAGAAAAAAAACAACTGAATTATTACAATTTTAAGAAATTACGATGATTATAAATAAATCAAACAAATGGCATAATGTTGATAAAATAATTTTATATTTACATTCTAGCAAAGAACTTAATAAATTCTTTATCAATGTTTCAATTTTTTCGTATCCTTCTATTTTCTTATTTTCGATTATATATATCATGGCGAATGAAAAAAAAAAAGATTGAAGTAAAAAGAATACATTATAAAGAAGTTAAAAATTTTTTGAAGGTTAAAATTAATTAACCACAGTGAATTTTATTTCTTACTAATATTTTTTTTTATAATAAAATTTTATAATAAACTTGAACAACTTTACATAGAGTATTATATTCAATTAACTTTCGAATTGTTCTATATAAGTTTCGTTGAATAAATATATATTATATCCTTATTTTTTAATCACAAATAGCAATTTTGCAAACTATATTTCCATAATTTACAATCATATATCAAACAAAAAGGATTGCCTGAAAATACAACAATATATATAACAAAAGAATATAGTATATAATTCAATATTTTGAAACATAAAACAATTTTTTCTTAAAAACATACAATCCAAAATTTATAATAATTTTAATTTAAATTTTATGAACATTTTGTTAAAATATTTAAATTATTAGAGATTCTTTTTAAAATAATGCACACAATTGTACATTTTTTAAGAAAACAAAGAGAATAATTTTTTTTTAATTGTGGAGGACAATCTTTGTTGGATTGCAATATAAAGTTTGCACAAATGAAAAGGTACAATCTTTCTCGTCATTATATCAATCATTATGTAAAATCAAACAATATATTCTGCACAAATGCTTGTTAATTTAAAAATATAGTACAAGAATCAAGAAGAATAAAATCACAAACGACAAAGCTTCTATTAGCTTGCACATCGCATGTACAGATTGCATGTACAAAAAAGAATTTTTTAAATAGTAAATTAATAAAGAAATCAGCAATCTAATAACAAAAACTTTCGATAATAATGCTGTCAAAATAGTTTTAAATTAGTATCATTTTCACGACAAACTATTCCATATTGCATTCCATTCGTAAGAAAATTTAAACAAATTTACAGATATTTTTTTTGTAATTGGATGAAAACATTATCATCATCGATTTAAATCAATTATTTATTTTCGTTTCGTAGATAATTTTCAATTAATGAAGAATTATTAATAATAATAGTGTAATTTTGTGTAACATGTAAAATGGATAATTTAAAGCATTTTATAATAAAATAAAAGATTGAAGTAAAATATTGATTTTCAAAATGCACTTGTTATTGTAACAAATTGTATATATAATGATAGAATAAAAATGAAATTGAAAAGATTATAAAAAAAATAATAATAATTATTATTATTATTAGATTTTAGAAAGTGAGTCAGAGCAATTACAAAGTGTACCAAAGTCTTTTTTAAAATAATTTTTGTAAGTGTCATTCAAAAAAGAAATACTTTTTCATAAAAAAGAATGGTAAGAATGGTGTTTCTTATTTTTAATAATAATTTTGTCTTGACTAAAAACAATTTCAGATTTTTTTTCGAAATTTTTTCGAAATTGAATTTTTCGAAACTGAAGATATTGTTTTCACAATCTAGTCTTATAGCACATAACATCTAAAAAATAAATAAAAAAGCTTATTTGAATCATCTTATTCATTTTAAAAGTGAATAATGATAATTTTTTCATATAAGAGTGATTTTTCTGCATCGGAGGTACACTTTAAAGTAGAAGTTTGATCATTAAGGAATACGAGAAAATATTAAGAAAGAAGACTAGAGTGAGTTCCAATAACGAAAGTTTATCAAAAGTCTTATGTTAGTTTCTCTCTGAGACATAGAACGAATGTTAATGATATACAAATTATTTTAAATATTTTAAAAATAGAATATACCAAACATACCATTACAAATTTAAAAAATATATAACAAAATATGCTTCTAAAATGTATAAAGTAATATATAGCGTGCATTCAATGGAGATACAATTGTATTTCATTTGTTCTATTATTTTCTTTTATCTCTACTATTAAAATGTTCAATATTAAGTAATGAGGTTTTTTTAGTAGCAATGTTTTTGGATCTCGGATTTATTAAACAAATAACAAATTATTTTGACGATACAGAAAACATATGATTCAAGAATATAGATCGTTTCATAGCAATTGTTCGATAATTAAAACAAAAAAAAAAAAATGAAATAATGAAAAAATGAAATAAAAAATTCTTTCACTAAATATTATGAACATGTTATGGAAATATGAAATATTCTTGTTTGAATTCAAAGGAAATAATATTTTGCAATTCTGGAATAAAAATAATATATCGAAATTTTATTTTTATTAGCAGAATTGATTTTAGCAATGCCACTAACATAAGTTTGTATAAAAAGGTTCTTTTGACCTTCATATAAATATTATTATATATTATTGTTACGAGCGTTGACAATTATAATGTGGGATATCATTGCTAACGACATAAAAAATGACAATACAGATATCAGAAGTATTCAACGAAATCGTTTCCTGGACATGAAATAGAATAGTCGTATTTCTTCCTTTCTGCTTCCTGAATGAATATTACATCGTTAATAAACATATGTAAATAAATTAAGTGTCAATTGTAAACAAAATTGTAAATAAAGAAAAACTGAATACCCGTCGAATGCAATATTAAAAATGTTCTAAATTAAAAGATACAAATAAAATGTAACTAAATTATATAGTGCACAAAAATAAAATAAAATAAAATAAATAAATGAAAAATGAAATACTAGTATGAGAAGTGGGATTTCTTAAGTATTTCCTTCGAAAAAGATCTCAGACATGAATTTCTTTACAAGAAAAAGTTTTTTTTGGAAGTGATTATCGATCTCCAAAGTTCCATTGAAGGTCAGTTTGCGAAGCATCTGATAGC